GAAGAAGAAGAAGAAGAAAAAGAAGAAGAAGAAGAAGAAGAAGAAGAAGAAGAAGAAGAAGAAGAAGAAGAAGAAGAAGAAGAAGAAGAAGAAGAATATATTCACCCTCTACAGTCTACAACATGCTCTAAGCCTTTGACAACATTAGTATTATTAGAATTCTTTGGGTACAAATGATCTGAATAGAGTTAAACTTATCCATGGCGGCCTGCTATTGACGAGCAGAGAAGTGGTTGTCTTAGTTAGGAGGACGTCTTAGGCCTAAAATGGGCAATGTCGTAAAAAAAAAAGGGGGGGGGGGGGGGGGGGGGGGGAGTAGGAAGTGGTTGTTTGTAACAAAAAAAAGATTGTCTTGGACAGTAGCCGTTAGGCCAGGCTTGACTGTGGCGTCAATTAGGGCGTAAATCTTCTACTATTACAAGGAGTGTGCCTTTACTTTGAAATGGCCTACATCACAGAAACTAACAAAGAGTACTCCGTCACCTCGGTTGGTGTGACGTTGGACTACTTGGGTTGTTTTGAAAAGTTTTTAATTTTAAGGCTTTACTTTTTATATATTATTTTTTTATATTACATATCCATTTGGCTCGGTCTTATCGGAGATAGACACAATTCGAAGGTCATAGTTATACCTCTTTAAAAAAACTTTAATACAGTTGACCCCACTTGTGTTGAACTTGCTTGAATTAATATTCGGTTAAGTTTATCGTATTTTACTCGTCCTATAAATACCCTTTCGTCTTTACTGGTCCCAACGGTTAAGTTGATATTCGGATGAGTTGATCTTTGTTAACTCCCCCGACGACATCAACCCATCCGTAGTCGACTATACATGTAGTGTTAATAGGGGTGTTAATTTAGTTAAAGTTAAACCCATACACTTTGATTCACACTTACGGAACTAATAAACCTCATTCACAGGTGGAGTATGCGGCCATGTTCTCCTACACCAAGGGCTGTATCGTGTCTCTCATGGACATCTTCAAGGAGAACGTCCTCGCTATCGCCGCCATCGCTTTCTCCGTCAGCTTCCTACAGGTGAGGGGATCTGCTCTCTCAAAACTTTAATTCTAATCTCTTTTCTGCTGGGTTGACGTACCGTACGTGTATATCCCTGTCGCCGTGGTTTTATGCACCCTGCATAATTTAGCATAATTTTATCATTTTTTTGCATAATTTCTTATTATTTTCCTTTATCATTCTTTGTTAAAATTAACAGAAACGCATAATTTCATATTTTTGGGCTCAGTTTGCATAATTTCAGAATTCTTCTTGCATAAAACGACAAGGACAGATATTCCCACTTGTGTTCTCCACAACTGGTTAACTGACATTTTTTAAAGTTAGTTTATAGAGGACATTTTTGTAGATATGAATTTGCAACTTGCTCAGTTTGTCATTATATGATAAGGGAAAATGTACGATGTCCTTGATTAATTCTCTCTTAAATCAATATTTATTTGTCTTGTCGGTACATATATGTTATTATCAGCAATGAAAAGGGGAGGTGG